TTATATTTTTAAAAATATAAGACAAACACTTAAGGCTTTTGTTAACATTATTTTTAATGCCTGCCTAGTATTCCATTTTATTAGCATTTTTAAAATATCAGGTGTTTAGATTTCCAATATTATGCTATTTTAAATCTTGTTACTCTGAACATCTATTTTTGCACAAGCTTCATCCACATTCCAGGAAAATTTTCTAGAAGGAAAAAGTAAAAAAAAATTCTTTTATACTATGACTTGTGTGTTCTTGAGTTTATATGTCGATTCATTTCCGAGTAATCTAGGAATGGCCTTAAGCAAAATATTTGGGCATATTTGTTTGCAATTTGAGAAAAATTATTGTTTAAAAACAAAACTTTGTTGTTTGATGATCTGTTTCTAATGTTTATCTAATCCTGTTTCACACTTTCATGTTAAGGGACAAAACCTCATCCCAACTCCAGATGTAACAGCCTGAATAGAAGTGACTCTATTTTGTTAAGCTTCTAAATTAAAAAGTTTGTTTTTTCTTACTTTTGTAACCCAAACCACATACATAGCTTGTAGCTGGACATTAGAATACAGTGATTCTTGTTCACATGATTGCTAGAACATAATGACTTTTGCTCACAATGTACACAGAATAATTATAGAAGAAATTATTAACCCAGGTGGCCTTTCTTTACTAGCTTACTAACTAGGTCTTTTTGAAGTTAACAGGAACTGAATCCGTGACTCAACTTGATGGAGGATGGTCACCATGAATCAGCTCCCACCCAAGAAGTTCTTTGATGTTTATCTGAAATTTTATGATTATGCCTGTAAGTCTCCGCTTAGATCACCAAGAATCAGCCCTTGTACCACCTGTTCCTATAAAATCTTTGACAAGTCTGGGAAAAGTGGAGATGGTCTTTGAGACATAAGTCCACCATTTCCCCAGGCTTCCAGCTTCCTGATCAAAGGCTACCTCTCCTTACACCAACACTTGTCTCTCAATTATTGGCTATTGATCGGCGAGCAAACGGACCTTTGGGTTTTGTAACACAGACATGGATGCGTCCGTATCATGAGCCTTTTTTTTTTTTTTGATTGGTAAGGGGATCGCAACTCAGCCAGTGAGCGCACCGGCCATCCCTATATGGGATCCGAACCCGCGGCCTCGGTGATACCAGCGCCCACTCTCCCGTGTGAGCTATGGGGCGGCCCATCATGAGCTTCTTGAATGAGCAGTTTTCTCTTCTGTCATCGTGGAGCACCCTGTTATATACTTCCTTTGAACAACAGGACGTGAAATAAAATTGCAATACTTTTTACTTCTGTTTTTTAAAGCTAGATACTTTCATAAGAACTCCATTTGTCAACGACACAACCCCTCCTTTTTCCCATTCTCTCCAACTGGCTCCTCCCTTTCCTTCCCTTCCCCTTTCTAAACCACCCTATAGCTTCTCACGCTAGCAAGATAACATCCTTGTTTAAAAAATCTTGTGCTCGAATATCTTAATCACTGAGGTGTATGTACTGAACGTCTCTTTCTCCGCCTGGGATTTTGGTCCTTCTGATTTTTCTTTGTTTTGAAGGTTTTTCCGGCCCATTCTTTGGGAAAACACTCTCAAGGTAGGGCTCAGCCTCGCCTCTGCGACCTTAGCCCCGCCCACACTGTGGCCCCACCTTCCTCGGGCGCCAGCGTTCCATCTCCATGGTTACGCAGCCGCCCTCAAGCGCCCAGCTGCACTGAAGGCGGTGGCGAGCGCCCCGGGGCAGAATCAGATAGACGCGGCTCTTGCTCTCCATTCCAGCCCAGGTCAACTCACGAGTGGCTGCGCGCCCTTGAACCGGAGGCGTAGCCCGTGAGAAGGCGAACGTGGGTCGGCGGGCAGAGCCGAGGCCTCTGGAGGACCCGGCGGCCTCGTTGAGACTTAACTCTCGGTCACCACCCCTCTGGCTGCGCCGCCGCTGAGCGGAAACAGCGGTCACTTCCTGCCGGAGGCGCCCAGCTCCGCAGGTCAGACCTCTACCCGCAGTGCCTCGGCACCGCTCGCCCCCCCCGCGGCCTGAACGCAGATTTAGTGCTGTACAGTAATTGGAGAGGGGGGCCGGGAAAGGCACTGAGGAGCGGCCGTAGCGAGCCCGAGCGTGTGGCCCGACAGGTCGCACGCATGCGCACACAGACGCAGGCACGCGTAGCCAACGTTCTTGGGCGCTCGTTACAAGCTACTGTTTAAGCTCCTGCGTTATGTCATGCACTGTCATCTAACCACTAAATATGCAGAACTCATTTAGTCCGCACAACTCTGGGAAGAGTACTAATAGCATCCATATATTTCAGGTGAGAAAAGTGTCTCGTAAAGAGATGAAGCAAATGCCCGAGGTCCCACAGCTAGACAGTAGTTGGGTCACGTTGGAATCCCGGCAATCTAGTGTTACTGGGCAAAATGCCAAATGCTACCTTATCCATCCACCCAAATGCTGATAGTGCTGAGAGTTAGCTTTATCTACCTGGTATTGCCTTTGCTACACTCTACATGTTAAGTTCCCCTGTGTTCAGTTACTGGTATTCGGGAAAATCAGGAAACTCGATTAAAATCCACTTTTTCCTGGCTTTTAGTAAATGGAATTAATAAACAGGAGTTCATTTTTTTCCCCATGAGGTATCACTTTCATATGTTTTGATTTTTTTGCTTTTTTGTTTTCATCAAGTCTAAACTCCAACTTGAATGTACAGAAGAGAATTTAGATGATTTGAGCCAAGAATTGTTTTCTACTATTCTGTTACAGTTATGAAGGTCATTAAAGTTATGAAAGTGAATGTTAAAGTTTTGAAGGTGAATGAGGTGGAATAAACATTTCCTCTTTCAAGCTGTATTCTGCTGCCTGCACATTTAGGGGGTTGCTTTCTCATTAATTCTACTTTTCCCCCCAAAATACCATTTAGTCCTTTTTAAAATATAAAAATATCATAATATAAATATACTTTTGGTCACACCATCATTTAAGTAAAGAAATGTTTTAATCATTTAAAGTCCAAATTGCTCTCTCTGTCATCAAAGTCCATTAAAAAAAAAAACCCAACTAATGAAAAACCAGAGGGGCCTAGATACTAATAAGTTAAGAGATAATATTATGACTCTTTACAAATATAGTAGTGGAGAAATCTGAAGAGATGTAATATATAAATGCAATTTTTAAAAAACCAATCATTGCTTTATTTAGCCAGAATGCCTCCCACTCAGGCAGAAAGTGTTATAAAGAATATCATACGAGAAATAAGACAAGAATGTGCAGCCCGTGGAGAGATTGTTTCTGAAACTCTGGTTGCTTTTATGGTAAGAATATTTTTGCAAATTACTGCTTTGTTAAAAAAATTTTTTATGTGATACCCATTTTCCCGTTGAAATTTTGTGATGCTTTCCTAGATGCTTTTCAGTTGAAAACATTGAGATCATCAGGCAAGTTAATGAAAAATATTTTTTAAAAGTCCATAAAGCATGCCAATTCTAGATTTATAGAGACTGATTTAGAAGATCTTGATGAATTTTAGAAATATCAATAATGTTCTTCTGTGTAGGAATTTTTTTAACAGGTATTGTTTTGTTTGCTGTTGTAAAAATTACTTATTGCTGTAGTTTCTCTGTTCTTGCTTTTGGTTAACAATATATGATAAAAATACGATAACATTTATGATAGTTTTCCAATCTAAAATCTAGCCATTGCTTTCAATGTATTTCCCCATATAATTTTTCTAGCATCATATTCAAGTTCGTTATTCAACCTCTAATGAAAGTGCTGATAAGTTGGATTATGAGAAAAATAACTGAAAAATCAACCCTTGAGTAATCAAGAGGTAGTTGTTTAAAAAATGGAAGCATATTAAACTAATTTTATAATAATATGAAATAAAATTACTTAGTGGAGTCTTTTCCTACTCTCAGGTGAAAGCTGTTGTCCTGGATCCAAGTAATGGCTTTAACGTGGATAGAACACTCATAAAAAGTGATGTGCAGAAACTTGTTAAGGTGATTATCCAGCAGTCCTCAAATGTGCAATTATTTGTTCTCAACTCTAAAAACAGTATTTGTAGTAGCCATTATTGCCTTCAACTGCATGAAACAAAAACCCACAAAATAGTAGTACAAACAAAGGAGGGATATATTTTTCTCATAAAACAAAGTCTGGAGATACGCATAGGCTGTTCATCTTGGCTTCCTGGGCTACCATCCATGGCATATAGCTTTCATCCCGTGGTTGGAAAATAGCTCTTCTAAGTCTAGGCCGGAAGAAGGGGGAAAAGCAAAGGGCAAAATGTGTGTGCCAATTGGGTCTGTCACTTTCTATCTTGAAAATAATAGTTTTCCCTGAATCCCTCCCATCTGCTTACATTTATTGACCAGAATGATACTGTAAGTGACCCTGGGACATTCTTTTTCTTTTTTCTTTTTTTTCCTTAAGTGAGCAAATCTTTGCCCCAGTCCAAACTGGGGATCTGTTAGTAAGGAGGGAGAGGCATGAATTCTGGACAGGAAAGAGCATCTACAACAGTATTTAGTGATATCTTGTTATTAATCTGTTACATTGAAAATATTATTAATTGGTTTGTCATATACTGTAAAGTTAAATAGTATTAAATTACAAGAGTCCTAAATTAAGATTTATATAACTCATTCAATGTAATTTATGTTTTACAACTCTAAAGGAAAAATTAAAACCACAGCAAAATAATTCATAGTTATAAATCAAGCAGATGTGCCTGAAAACTAGTTTTAAGAGCTAAAGAAGGCAAGCACTTCAGACATCTTTAATGTTGTTCGTATGCTTTAAGCTTGACTCACTAAATTTAGTTGCTTAGTCTGTATTTTCTAAAAATTCAATGTTGTTTTTTTTCTCCTGGGCTTAATGAATTTAGTTCTCTCCTTCACACAAATGACTTGAAGCAAGCTTTCCCAAACTTGTGTATGGACATTTACTGGGCTCATGAAAATCACAGGGAAAATTTCATCATCCTGTCTTCTCTCACAACCAGCATTCATATAGTGGAGAACAGGTCTATGTGCATATGCTACAGGAAAAAGATTGAAAGAGATGTGAAAGCCTGGAGCTGGGGAATATGTTGTCGGGATGATTTAGCAGTAGAGACTCCATGATTCCACAGGAAGCCTACAACTGGGTCTTTCTGGGCTGGTTTTAAATGTGGTATAAAGCCTGTTCTTAGCAATAGGGGAAATAACTGTGATGGTCAGTCAGAAATTTCACTGGAGAGCTAAGAAGGAGAATCAAGGAGTGCTAGAAAATAAGTTTTTCTTCTTTTCATAGCTCAAGAACAGTTTTTCTTCCCCCCCCCCCCCCCCCCCCCCCCCCCCCCCCCCCCCCCCCCCCCCCCC